GCATACCGCGCCAACGGACAGACAACAGAGGCAGTAACGCTGCTAGAGCATATTGTAACCGTGAAACATGTTGTACTTGATAAGGACCACCCTTCACGCCTTGTATCAATTCAAGCGCTTGAATATATAAATGCTACCCTAGCAGAAGCTAGAGACTAGATACTATCAATCAAATTCTATTTTTTCTTTTGCCTTGAATTTTTGCTAACTGCTACTGTAACAACAAGTGAAGAACTTTAAGAACTTTTAACTAACTTGGATTGCAGACCGTACTACCGTGATTGCCTAAGTGGAGAGCGGCTATCGGCGGGTAATGTCTGTGCGTATCGATCTGATAAGCTAGCACGTGGGACTTGGAACCTCAGACTCCACTTTCCAGAAAGCCGAGGCTGTATTCTGCTACCCCTGATTAGCATGCTTATCGTGCTGGCAGTACCGATCCTGTTAGCTCGATTCTGGCGCTGCTCTTGACGCACGGCGGGTAACTATCTGCAAGTGCTGCAGTGAGATTTGCAATTATCGATTACACTATCCTAGACCTAGGAGGCGCGAGAGGTTAGCAATAGGGCTGCAGCGCGCGTCGTCGTTTTTGCAGCAGAACGAAGCACTTTGTGGCCATGCGCGGAACGCATCAACATGGCGGATAACCTTTGCCTAGGATGTGTGTGTACGTTCATATTTATCTACTGTCCACTATCTACTCGAGTGCAGAATTGTTTTCTTGTTGTGCGTAGAGAGGCAAGCGTTGCAAGTGGAAGTACCTGTCTGTTGTTCCGGCACGGGGGTGTTTCGCCACGCAGGGATGCACATTAAAAACTTACTAAACTTAAGTTAGCGACAAAACCCAACTTGTTACTTAAGGAGCTTTCTCAGCGGTGTCTAAGTCCGGAGCTAACCACTATTAGTAGAGATTCCGCTCCTCACTAGCAGGGGTCTGAACGAGTTAAAGTCAAGTGTCTCGAATACCCGGAAGCCGAACCTCCATGAGGCTGTACTACCTGCTCGTGGCCTTCTTCTGAAGCCGCGTAGAGTGCGTTGCCGTACGCACCCTGCACGTTTGGGTCGGCGTTCTTGTCGAGTAGCAGCT